GGTATTACTGAGCAGAAGGTTCTCTAAACTCTCTCAGCTGATTGGTAACAATGTAGTTCCTGTATTGTGTACTTTGTTGCTTCTCTCGTACACCAAACTCCTTCGTACAGTTATTTCTATTTTCATATATTCTACTTTATCAACAGGATGCATTGATCAATTGGTATGGTACACTAATGGAGAGCCCTTTCTATCTCACTGTCATCTGATCTTATTCATCATTGCACTGTCATTATTGGTCGTTCTCATTAGCCCATATGTATTATTTTTGCTATTTTTTCCATTGTGGGAGAAGTGTCGCTCTAAGTGGAGTATTGGTACTAAACTCTTTATTAAATTGAAGCCATTCTTTGATGCTTATGCTGGCCCACATACTGATATTTTCCGGTTCTGGCCTGGTCTATTACTTGTTGCAAGGATAATAATAGCCACAGCAATAGTTACAACAAGTAGTAGTAATATAATAAGCATCTCTGTTGCTGTTATCGCCATATTACTAGTCACACTAAGTTTTGGGTCCGTTTACAAGAAAAAAATCATCCACATGTTTGATGTTTGCTACTTTATGCTTCTTTTAATAATATTCTACATAATTGCTGGAACTATTGGTGATGACAGTGAAGTAAGAAGTCATGCCATTACAAGAAAAGGTGCTAAAAATGGAATTGCCATCATGCTTTCACTGAGTTTGTTAGGATTCTTATGCATAATGACCTATCACATTTATGCCTTGTACAAGCTGGGGTGTTGCTTTAATAAATGTGACAAGATCAAGCACAAGAAGGATAAAAATCTTTCCAACATTGCTGCCATTAATAGCTCAAGGGATTCTCGCACTTCAATGGAAATTTCTGTTGATGTGCCTCAACTTCGTGAACCACTGCTTGAGTCAATTTAAATAATTTTCATGTGTTTGTGTGTATTGCATAAATATTAGTAATATTAGATATGGTGTAGTATGGTGTGCATTGCTTAATCATTAATTTTTTAAAACAATTATGTAATTGTTTATTGAAGTAGATTGTGGTTTAATTATAAATTGTGGTGTGACGTAGATAATTAAAAGGTCCACTTCTTCATGTACATATAGGTTTCAGTCAAGCTCAAGTTAATTTAGCTTTACTCGATAGTATATTGAGAGATAAAGTCTTACTTTGTTTGTTTTGAGTCAATACAAGCACTGGACATGGTCATGAGGCATGCACTTACCATCAATCATGAAAGATTAATAGCTATTACAAAAGTTTAAGCTGATTTCAACTAAAATTACTGATAGCAATTTTTTGCAACAATCACTCATTTTTGTCTACTAAATCACACCCAAATTTTATCACATTTTCTGATCCATATTGTGGTCTTTATTGAACCAGCTGAATCCGACTAAAATTTCTGACTTTAAAAAAAACTAACAGTTGTCTGAAAAATTTATGTACTACCCAATTCACTACAATTTTATTACATTTTCTGATACTAAAACTTCTAATAACATTGGCTTGCAGCACATATTATAGTTGTTTTGTGTGTAGTGTCTGATGAAGTCTCTTATTTCTCGCTTATTGACATAGCGACAGCACTGCTATAGAACCTTTAGGGCAGTGTAATACACCAGTATTTATAGTGAGTAGTCTTTTAATTGCTTGTGTTAACCTGTGACTTCAAATAACTCAAGAGTACATTCTTTCTTGCTGACTGTACTACCTACTACTGGTAGCCATAGTGAGCTGGCATGTATCAATTATTCTTGTTCTCCATACTATAGCAATATACTCTGCAGAGTGAAAAAATTTGCCTGCCAAAAATCAAAAAAACTTTCATTCTCACTTGAAAAATGAAAGCACCAGATTTAAGCTTAAGTATCACTGGTTACAAGCATACAGGATCAGTGCTGGTGGTAGCAATGGTAGATAGTATAAAGGATTTAACTGGAAAAACTGCACCTTAAACTTTAAAGTGTAGTTTAGTTCCATTATCCTGTCACAATGAAACCTTTAACCAGTGATACTCATATACAGTAAAGGTACAAATAGGTGATGTACTACAACTTGAAGTCACCTCGTTAGTTAATTATCCTTGTCAGTCTGTACCTTGATGATATACACAAGATATGGTTGGTGCATATACATAATTTGCTTATTTATGACTGTAGGCATAAAAATACCCTTTAAGAATAATTTAAACAA